ACCACTTCCAGCCCTTGGGGGGGGGCGAGTGAAACCACGACAGTAAAGCAAAATAATGAATATGTATTAAGTGAGAATATCTAATGAATATGTAAACAGTATGTGTAATAAAAAGCCCTGTCTATGTGAGAAAAATCTCATTTATTGAATGTAGAAAGACGGCAAAAGTTTGCAGAACAAAAGGAATAAAACGAAAAGGAAAAATTACAACACGTGTTGGGTGTCCTAGGTACGCAGGATTCCCAGGAACACACCCTTCAATTCAAAAGTCCCGGTTTTTAAACATTCTTAAGGTTCAACCCCGTTTACGTCATAGAAGAGGCGTTCCCCTCTTTCTGGTTGGCTGTGTCGTGCTGGGAGGTGGAGTGTCCAGCAGCATGGCAGCTTCCAGGACCAGCCATGTGGTGTAAGGGGTTTCCTTACCAATATTCATTTACAGTTCCCTATTCCCGTTCGCATGTTTCCCTGACACCGGTTCCAGGCTGAATCCGGCGTCTTACAGCTCCGGGATACACCCTATAGGTTAGTAAAGAAAAACTCTTATGTTAGTGATTTGCTAAATTCATTTGCTTGTAATAAAACCGATTCTTTATTTCTCACATCTATCTGTCATTTGGCACATTTGATTAGAGGAGCTATCCTCCAAACATCCAGCACGCTGAATAAAGAATGCCCTTTTTAACACCTACAAATTGGTGTTCAGGAGTTTGTTTCTGCCACTTTTCAGTATCAAGACGACCAGCCTGGCTGGGCAGGGAGCTTTTGCAGGAATGAGGGAAAAAAAGAGGATGTATCACCTTTGGAAAAAGGGGCAGGCAACTCAGAAAGTGTTTAAGGATATTGTTAGGTCATGCAGAAAGAAAATTAGAAAGGCGAAAGCACAATTAGAACTTAATCTGGCCACTTCTGTAAAGGATAATAAAAAGTCTTTTTATAAATACAATAATAGCAAAAGGAGGGGCAAGGAAAACCTCCATTCTCTATTGGACGTGGGGGGGAATATAGTTACCAAAGATGAGGAAAAGACTGAGGTACTTAACACCTTCTTTGCCTCAGTTTTCAACAATAAGACAGGTTGTCCTCGGGACAACTGGCCTCCTGAGCTAGTAGACAGGGACGGGGAGCAGAATAACCCCCCCTGTAATGCAGGAGGAAGCAATTAGTGACCTGCTGAGCCACTTGGATCCTCACAAGTCTGTGGGACCAGATGGGATCCATCCTAGGGTGATGAGTGAGCTGGCGGAAGAGCTCGCCAAGCTGCTCTCCATCATTTACCAACAGCCCTGGCTCACTGGGGAGGTCCCAGATTGTTGAGAGTATCTTAGACGATACAGGACATAACATATTGCTTCAGACCTGCTTGCACAGGACATAACATATTGCTTCAGGCCTGCTTGCACAATCCAGCCTACATGCCAGACGGCGAGGACCTGTGTCCTTGAGCAGCAGATGTGTGTCCTTGAGCAGCAGATATGAGGAAACTGCATAGAGATAAACAAGAAAAGAGGATGTTATCCAGGGTGTTAGAAACCACAAGATGGGAGGGCCTGGAAATGTCAGAGCACATGCCGTGGATAGGTGAGCCAATAGAGTTATAGCTATAGCATAATAAACGGATGTAACCAATAGAGAGTTAGAGTAGAGCGTGTGAACCCTGTAGGACCCTATATAATTTGTGTAATTTTGCAATAAAGCCGAGCATTGACTGTACCTCCATGAGGATGCGTCTTTGACTCCGGAGCTCCTTTTTGCATCTTCTCGTTAAACCAGATGACTGGAAGTTGGCCAGTGTGATGCCCATCTATAAGAAGGGCCGGAAGTAGGATCCAGGAAACTACAAGCCTGTCAGCCTGACCTCAGTGCCTGGCAAGGTTATGGAACAGATCATGTTGAGTGTGATCACACAGCACCTACAGGGTGGACAAGGGATCAGACCCAGCCAGCATAGATTTAGGAGGGGCAGGTCCTTCCTGACCAACGTGATCTCCTTTTATGACCAGGTGACCTGCCTGGTGGATGAGGGGAAGGCTGTGGATGTGTCTATCCAGGCTTTAGCAAAGCCTTTGACACCATCTCCCACAGCATACTCTTGGAAAAGCTGGCAGCCCGTGGCTTGGACAGGTGCACTCTTCGATGAGTTAAGAACTGGCTGGATGGCTGGGCCCAGAGAGTGGTGGTGAATGGTGCTGCATCCAGTTGATGGCCAGTCACTAGTGGTGTCTCCCAGGGATCAGTGTTGGGCCCAGTCTTGTTTAATATCCTTATTGATGATCTGGATGAGGAGATAGTCTACCATTAGCAAATTTGCAGATGACAGCAAGTTGGGGAGGAGTGTTGATCTGCTGGAGGGTAGGAGGGCTCTGCAGAGTGTTCTTCATTCTCCCAGTCGCTGCCTTCACCTTCTGCAACTTGGGTGGTGTGGTTGCAGCACTTGCTGGTGAAGGCTGAGGCAAAAAAGTTGTTGAGTACCTCAGCCTTCTCCATGTCCTGGGTAACCAGGTCTCTCTCATATCTTTCTTGAGAAGACCCACATTTTTCCTGGTCTTTTATCACCAATGTGCCTGTAGGAAGCTTTATTTGTTACCCTTGATGTCCTTGGCCAGATTTACTTCTGCCAGTGCTTTAGCTTTCCTAACCAGATCCCTGGCTGTTTGGACGATCTCTCTGTATTCCTCCCAGGCTACCTTTCCCTGCTTCTACCCTCTGTAGGCTTCCTTTTTGTGTCTGAGTTTGTCCAGGACCTCCTTGTTCATCCATGCAAGCTTCCTGGTGGTTTTGCCTGACTTTTTCTTTGTAAGGATGCATTGCTTTTAAGTCTGGAGGAAACAATGCTTGAATATCATCCAGGTCTCTTGGGTCCCTCTTCCCTCCAGGGTTCTATCCCATGGCACTCTACCAAGGAGATCCCTGAAGAGGCCAAAGTCTGCTCTCCTCAAGTCTAGGACAGTGAGCTTGCTCTGTTCCCTCCTTGTTGCCCTAAGGACCTCAAACTCCACCATTTCATGGTCACTGCAACCCAGGCTCCCCTTGAGTTTCACATTACCCCTCTTTTCCAGTGAGAACAAGGTCCAGTAGAGCACCTCTCCTTGTTGGCTCCTTGTCCTAGTTTTGGTCAAGACAGGGTTAATGTTTTACAGTGGCCAAGAAGACCCGTGGCCAAATTCGATACCACCTCACTTCATTGGCAAGAGTGGGGGGGGGGGAAAGGGACTTACTTAGGAGAGGAAGGGTGTCCTTTTCTGGTCAGGAGAAAAACATGGTCAGGAAGAGCCGGTCATTTGTCATGGTATTCTGTGTAAACAGTTTCTTTGTTTTATACCTTTTGTTATTAATATTGTTGCTGTTACTGTTCCTTTTTCTTATCTCCTTGCTGTCTCCAGTAAATTGTTCTTATCTCAACCCATGATCTTTGCCTTTTGTTCCTCCAATTCTCCTCTCCAATCTGGTGCAGCAGGGAGGGGGAGGAAAAAAAGGGGGGAGCAAAAGAGCTGTGTCTGGTTTGGGAGAATCTTGATGGGGGCACTAAATAGGGGAGCGCCACTCCTAAACCACCACAGCCTTAATTGATCCCCAATGTGAGGCACAAAGTGTTGATAAAACAACAGATCTGCCCAGAGTGGGTTGGAAACAAATTTGATCTAAGCATTTGTTGTATTAGGTATGGAGCCACTGATCACAATGTTGCTTGGTCTGTTCTGTGGGTGTGGTACCTTAACAGGTATACGTTTCCGTATATGAACTATATGCTCCTTGTGATGATATTTTTCAGAGCAGAGAGAGGGATCAGGATGACTTTGCTGCTGTACTGTGGAATATCAGTTTATGACATGATAACATCAAAGGCAATGATGGTCATTTGGGATGTGTATTCAAGTGTTGCTGTCCTGCCCTTGTCTAGGGCGCTACCTCTGGGATTCCATGAATAACCATACCCAGTCTGTGGGGGGAACAGGGGAGGATGATTTTCCCCAGCATTTCACACTCTTTTCCTCCTTCAGGCCTGTTACAACAGCTTTTGAGAATTTAAAATTTTCCCTGGATGTTAAGGAAAGCATGTTCTTGTTGCTAAGTCTGACAGGTCTCCTCAGTGTGGTCCACACCAAGTTTAGAGTCAAGAAAGAGATTTCTAGGGAGATAATTCAGAGATCTGCCCCAAGGATGGATAGTCATGAGTGGCATGGAATGTGGGAGGACATGGACCAGTATTTGGAGGACTATTCTGCTGCAATGGTTTGGAAATTCACCCCTGAACAGATACAGGATCCTGTTAAAGTGATAAAATATGTGAAGGAAAAATGCTGTGGCTGTTCCAGAGAGGCGTGAACTTATGCAATGTGCTGGGCCCTGGCTACTATTTATTGGACACTGCTTGTCACTAGACAGCACCCTCAGGGGGAGGAGGAGGAAAGCAAACCAACAGGCACTGTGGCCACTCAAACTGCAGTTGAACCAGAGGAATAACCTGTGCCAGTAGCAGTTACCCCTATACAGAAGAAGAAATCCAAGGCCAAATCAGTTTGCTTAGTGAGGGATGAAGAGGAAGCAGGGCCCTCAGAACAGGAGGAAGAGGCAGGGCCAGAGATAATCACCCAATCCCTATCCCTGGGTGAGCTGCAAGATACGTAAAAAGATTTCAATTGCCAGTCGGGTGAGGCCCTGGTGACCTGACTGCTCTGATGCTGGGATATCGCATCCCACAATGTGAAACTAGATGGTAGGGAAGCCAAGCAACTGGGATCCCTGTCCCAGGATGTGGGCATTGACAAGGGAAGAGGACAGAAACTCTCAGTCTCTGGAGGCGGCTCCTGTCAAGTGTGAGGGAAAGGTATTCTCTCAAGGATGATCTATTAGTGCACCAAGTGGAACACCATGGAGAAAGGTATCCAGTACCTGTGAGAATGAGCTGTGCTGGAGGTACTCTATAAGGATTCAAATAATGAGCAATCCCCTATAAATCCAGATGAAATTCAGTGTACACAAACCATGTGACAGAAGTTCCTATGGAGCATGCCATCACTGTATACCAACTCATTGGCAGTGATGTCATGGAAAGAGAACAAAGTGTGGATAATTTGGTTACCAAACTCCAGCTATATGAAGAAAGTATCTCTCCTCGCTATGGACCTGTGTTTTGTCTGTGGAAAGACTGTCCAAGGATCTCCAGCAATTTAAAGAGGAGTACCAGCAACTTAAAGAAGTGTCCCATGCCCCGCCAGTATGGACCAGAGTCTCTGCTATTAGGAGCATGTGCCTCCCTGCTCGAGAGTGAGGGGACACAGCATGAGGTAAACTGTGGTTTAACCCGTGTGACCACAGAGAGGACATGAGGAGGTGGAATGGAAAATCCACCTCTGCCCTAGCAGCATGGGTACATGAGTTGACAGGGAAAAACAACCACTGCAGGAAATTCTTCAAGGATAAATGCCACTCCAGTTTCCAGTGGGCAAATCTTCAGACAGAATAGAAGGGCTGATGTTACTTCCAATCCTCCAGGACATGACTTCCAGGTCATGTTTACAAGAAGTGAGCAACGAGTACTATGACCAGGACTAGAGGTGTCCTGCCTCCAGCCAAGTGGAGGAAAGGGACAATCAGATCTATTGGACTGTGTGGATCCGATGGCCTGGTACATCAAACTCACAAGAGTATAAGGCTTTAGTTGACATCGGCACACGATGCCATCAAGATATGTGGGGGCAGAATCCATCTCTATATTTCTGAGGTGACAGGGAGATCCCAAAAGCTGACTGTACTGGAAGCTGAAGGGAGCCTGACTGGGAATGAATGGCAAAAACACCCCATTGCGACTGGCCCAGAGGCCCCATGCATCCTTGGCATAGATTACCTCAGGAGAGGGTATTTCAAGGACCCAAAAGGGCATCGTTGGGCTTTTGGGATATCTGCTGTGGAGACAGAGGAAATTAGACAGCTGAATGCCTTGCCTGGTCTCTCAGAAGACCCTTCTGTTGTGGGACTGCTGAGGGTCGAAGAACAACAGGTACCAATTGCTACCACAACAGTGCACCGTCAACAATACCACACCAACCATGACTCTGTGACCTCCATCCGTGAGATGATTCATGAACTGGGGAGCCAGGGAGTGGTCAGCAAGACTTGCTCATGCTTTAGTAGTCCAATATGGCTAGTGCATAAGTCCAATGAAGAGTGGAGACTGACAGTAGACTATTGTGGTGTAAGGTAAGATACATGCAGGTATCGCCCAAAAATGCCAAGGCAGTGGAAAGAATCCAAAAAACTTTATTTCGAAGGCTAGAACACTAAAAACTTACAAAGGAAAATCTGCACCACCTGTGAAAGTGCTGGGTCTGAGAAAGTCATGCCTCCTGATCTCTTCCAGGCTTCTTATCTTCTCTGGTCTCCCCTGCCAGGTTCACCGCTGGCACAGCCTGTAACACTGTGAGGGTTTATCTCTCCTCAGACCAGAGAGAGACTGCAGCTTTTCTATGGAATGCAAAAGAAGAAGGGAAAGAAAAACATCCAACTATTTTTGAGAGAAGTACTCTTAGGCAGGAAAGACTTCCTAAGCGAAAACAAGTCCTAACTCCTTGTTACAAATTCTTCTGATAGGGTACCTACTCCTACACGTGGCCTGAACGAAGTCACACCACCACTGAGTGCTGCTGTGTCGGACATGCTGGAACTTCAGTACAAACTGGAGTCCAAGGCAGCAAAGTGGTGCCACCACTGACATTGCTAATGCGTTTTTCTCCATTCCTTTGGCAGAAGAGTACAGGCTGCAGTTTGCTTTCACTGGAGAGGCATCCATCATCATCATCATGGCTAGGCTTCGCGAAGGAAGATTTGGGAAAGGCTCTATCCACATTTGTTACAAGCACGCTGGTGGCTAATAAGGCCAATATGAGATAGACATGTCCGATTGCAAAAGGCACAGCAGAAAGACTCCTTAGGTGGTATATTCTGCAAGACACGGTTCTTTCTGCGTTGTCTTTTCTCCTCAAGAGTGATCCTGCGTGCGTTCTCAAAGGAAGCAGCAGCATTATAGATGGTGTGCCTCCAGACCTCCCAATTTGAGGCTGGAGTAGACCAGTTATGTTGATCAATATGGCCAAGGCTGAGATGTGGTTTCAGGGAGTCCTTGTATCTTTTCTTCGGGGCTCCTCTCTTGCGGCAGCAAGTTCACCATAAAGCAGTCCATGGCAAATAGTGGGGCTGTGTTTCCACCCCTGAGGCAGTCGATTCCAGGTGTATTGGATGCCTCTCCTTCAAGGAGTCTATTTGCCATGGACTGATCCAAGCTGCACTGGAAAAGGGTGAGGCCTCAGAACATTTGCAGTACACTGATGACACGATCATATGAGGCAACACAGCAGAGGAAGCTTTTGAGAAAGGGGGAAGATAATCCAGATCCTCCTAAAGGCCGGTTTTGCCATAAAGCAAAGTAAGGTCCAGGGACCTGCCCTGGGAATTCAAGTTTGAGGGGTAGAATGGCAAGATGGACCTTGTCAAATTCCAATGGACGTGGTCAAGAAAATAGCAGCTCTGTCCCCACCAACCAACAAGAAGGAAACACAGGCTTTCCTAGGCACTGTGGGTTTTTGGAGGTTGCATATTCCAGATTACAGTCAGATTGTAAGTCCTCTCTTGAGGATGACCCTTGGGGTTCTGGAGTCGGGGATACATAGGATCCGAGGCCTGTTACACCCCAACTGAAAAAGGCATACTCGCAGCTTATGAAGGGGTTCAAGCTGCTTTCAGAGTGATTGGTACCAAAGCACAGCTTGGCCTGGCACCCCGTCTGCCACTACTGGTCTGGATGTTCAAAGGGGAAGTCCCCTTCACACATCATGCCACTGATGCAATGGGTGGTGGGACCTTCAAACATTGGGAGCTACATTTAGCAAAGGCCACCTGGTTAGTTAACACTAGAGGCTCCATCAATTGAGCTGGCCCTGCCCAATCAGAACCTCCATGTACCGCAGAAGGGGATAAAGTCCCTGTGGTGCATATGAGGAATGTGTTAGGAAAGACAGTTTGGATTAGTCCTGCCTCAAGCAAGGGCAAACCCATCCGTGGGATTGTTTATGCTCAAGGACCTGAGTGCACTTGGTGGGTACTGCAGAGGAACGGGGAAACACAATGTGTACTTCAAGGGGATTTGATTTTTTTGTGAGAACAGTCTGTAATGTTAAATTGTATGATATTGGTTGCTGAATGACACTGCCACTGTATGTCATAACTACCATGGACAATGAGGATGGACTGCTCCAGATACAGCAGACATGAGCTCCTGATGCAGTTTGCAACCAGCTGACAGCACACCAGCTCTCCTGCCCTGGAGGACATTTAGGATGGATAGAACCCACAGTCATGGACTAATGAACTCAACAGACATCTTGAAGGGACAGCCATTGACTATGGAAATGATACATGTGCTTGTGTACATATACATATATTTATATATACATGTATATAGTGGAAAGGTGTAGGATCTGGGCATGATGTAGATGGTATGGAATAAGGGGTGGATAACATCCTGGTTCTGGCCAGGACAGGGTTAATTTTTTGCAGTAGCTGGAAGGGCAGTGACTAGGACCTGGATGTTATTCTATACCACCTCGATGGTGTGTGTGGGTGTGTGTGTGGGTGTGTTTCTTTTCTTGTACCCTGTCATTAGTATTGTTGCTGTTACTGTTCATTTTCTTATCTCATTTCTTTCTCCAGTAAATTGTTCTTCTCTCAACCCCTGATTTTCACCTTTTGTGTCTCCAAATTGGGGAGTACCATTCCTAAATCACCACAGCAGCCAACAAGGAAAGGTGCTATGCTGGACCTTGTGATCACCAACAGGGAGGAGCTGGTGGGGATTGCGATGCTCCAAGGCAGCCTTGGCTGCAGTGACCATGAGATGGTTGAGTTTGAGATCCTCAGAGTAGTGAGGAGAGCACACAGCAAGCTCACAGTTTTGGACTTTAGGAGAGCAGACTTTGGCCTCTTCAAGGACCTACTCAGTAGACTCCCATGGGATAGAGCCCTGGGGGGCAGAGGGGCCCAAAAATGCTGGCTGATATTCCAGGATCACCTCCTCCAAGTTCAGGAGCGATGCATCCCAACAAGGAGGATATCAGGCAAAAATGCCAGGAGGCCTCCATGAATGGATAAGGAGTTGTTGAGAAAACTTTCAGGAAGTGGAAACGAGGACAGGTGGCCTGGGAAGAATACAGGGAAATTGTACAGGCAGCTGGGGACAAGGTTAGGGAAGCCAAGGCCCAGTTAGAATTGAGACTGGCCAGGGATATCAAGGATAACAGGAAGGGCTTCTATGGATATGTTGCAAACAAAAGAAAGACTAGGGATAATGTGGACCCTCTCTGAAAGGAAACGGGAGACCTGGCTACTCTGGACAAAGAGATGACTGAGGTTCTCAAAGACTTCTATGCCTCAGTGTTCAACGGCAAGTGCTCCAGCCACATCCTCCAAGTCAGGAAAGGCAAATGCAGGGACTGGGAGAATGAAGACCCTGAGCCCACTGTAGGAGAGGATCAGGTTCAAGACCATCTAAGGAACCTGAATGTGCACAAGTCCATGGGACCCAATGAGATCCATCTGCAGGTCCTGAGGGAGCTGGCAGACCAAGTTGCTAAGCCACTATCCATCATTTTTGAAAAATGGTGGCAGTCAGGTGAAGTTCCTGATAACTGGAAAATGGGAAATATAATGTCCATTTTTAAAAAGGAGAAAGCAGAAGACCTGGGGAACTATAGACCAGTCAGTCTCACCTCTGTTCCAGGCAAGATCATGGAGCACATTCTCCTGGAAACTATGCTAAGACACATGGAAAACAAAGAGGTGATTGGTAACAGCCAACATGGCTTTACAAAGGGAAAATCATGCCTGACAAATTTGGTGACCTTCTATGATGTAGCTACAGCATTGACAGATGGGGCAGAGCAACTGACATCATCTACCTGGACTTGTGCAAAGTGTTTGACACTGTCCCACACAACATCCTTGTCTCCAAATTGGAGAGACATGGGTTTGATGAATGGACCACTGGATGGATGGCCGCACGCAAAGAGGTGCGGTCAACAGTTCATTGTCCATGTGGAGACCAGTGACAAGTGGTGTCCCTCAGGGATTGGTACTGGGGCCGATACTGTTCAACATCTTTCTTTGCGACGTGGACGGTGGGATCGAGGGCACCCTCATCAAGTTCACTGACGACACCAAGCTGTGTGGTGCAGTCGACACACTGGAGGGAAGGGATACCATCCAGAGGGACCTTGATATGCTGAAGAGCTGGGGCCAATGTAAACTTCATGAAGTTCAACAAAGCAAAGTGCAAGGTCCTACACCTGGGTCATGGCAACCCCAGGCACACCTTCAGGTTGGGCAGAGAAGTGACTGAGAGCAACCCTGCGGACAAGGACTTGGGGGTGATGGTTGATGAAAAACTCACCATGAGCCAGCAGTGTGTGCTCACAGCCCAGAAAGCCAATGGAATCCTGGGCTGAATCAAAAGGACCGTGGCCAGCAGGTCAAGGGAGGCGATTCTCCCCCTCTACTCTGCTCTTGTGAGACCCCACCTGGAGTACTGTGTCCAGTTCTGGTACCCCCAACATAGAAAGGACATGGAACTGTTGGAACAAGTCCAGAAAAGGACCACAAAGTAATAAGAGGATTGGACCACCTCCCCTACAAGGACAGGCTGAGAAAGTTGGGGCTGCTCTGCCCGGAGAAGAGAAGGTTGCATGGAGACCTCATAGCCCCTTCCAGTATCTGAAGGGGCCTACAGGGAAGTCAGAGAGGGACTCTTGGTCAGGAACTGTAGCGATAGGACAGGGAATAATGGGTACAAATTGAAAGAAGAGAAATTTAGGCCAGATATTAGGAAGAAATTCTTTACTGTGAGAGTAGTGAGACACTGGAATAGGTTGCCCAGGGAAGTTGTGGATGCCCCATCCGTGGAAGTGCTTAAGGCCATGTTGGATAAGGCCTTGAGCAACCTGGTCTAGTGGGAGGTGTCCCTGGCCATGGCAGGGGGTGTTGGAATAAGATGATCTTTAAGGTCCCTCACAACCCTCAACATTCTATAATTCTATGGATGGATGAGGGGAGAGAAGTGGATATTGTTTACCTTGACTTCAGCAAGGCTTTCAACACTGTCTCTCACAACATCCTCATAGGCAAACTCAGGAAGTGTGGACTGGATGAGTGGACAGTGAGATGGATTCAGAACTGGCTGAATGACAGATCCCGGAGGGTTGTGGTCAGTGGCACAGGGTCTAGTTGGAGGCCTGTCACTAGTGGTGTCCCCCAAGGTTCAATACTGGGCCCAATATTGTTTAACTTGTTCATCAGTGACTTGGATGAAGGAGTAGATGCCTCCTCAGCAAGTTCACTGACGACACCGACACAAAGCTGGGAGGAGTGGCCGATATCTCAGAGGGCTGTGCAGCCCTTCAGAAGGACCTTGACAGGTTGGAGAGATGGGCAAAGAAGAACTGTCTGAAATTCATTAAAGGCAAATGTAGGGTCCTGCTCCTGGGGAGGAATAACCCCATGCACCAGTACAGGCTGGGGGGCGACCTGCTGGAAAGCAGCTCTGCAGGGAAGGACCTGGGGGTCCTGGTGGACAACAAGCTGTCCATGAGCCAGCAGTGTGCCCTGAAGGCCAATGGGATCCTGGGGTACATTAGGAAGAGCATTGCCAGCAGGTCAGGGGAAGTGATCCTGCCCCTCTACTCAGCCCTGGTGAGGCACATCTGGAGTGCTGTGTCCAGCTCTTGGCTCCTCAGTACAAGAGAGACATGGAGCTCCTGGAGCAGGTCCAGCAGAGGGTGACAAAGATGATTAGGGGACTGGAGCATCTCTCTTACGAGGAAAGGCTGAGGGAGCTGGGCCTGCTCAGCCTCAAGAAGAGACAACTGAGAGGGGACCTCATCAGTGTCTATCAGTATCTGAAGGAGGTTGTCAAGAGGATGAACTAGGCTCTTCTTAGTGGTGCCAAGCAATAGGACAAAAAGCAATGGACAGAAACTGATGCACAGAGAGTTCCACCTGAACATGAGGAAGAACTTCTTTCCTGTGCAGTGACCATGCACTGGAACAGGTTGCCCAGAGAGGTTGTGGAGTCTCCCTCACTTGAAATATTCAAGAACCATGTGCTCTAGGATGACCCTGTGTTATAGGTTTGAAAAGAGATGTCAGAATTTTTTTTCCCAATATCATAGAATCATAGAATAGGTAGGGTTGGAAGAGACCTCCAAGATCATCAAGTCCAACCCCTGATCCAACTCCAATTACTATATCATGGCACTAAGGGCCACATCCAATCTCTTTTTAAAAACCTCCAGGGATGGTGAATCCACCACCTCTCTGGGTAGGCCGTTCCAATGTCTGATAACCCTCTCTGTAAAGAATTTTTTCCTAACATCTAACCTAAACCTCCCCTGGCAGAGCTTGAGCCCATGTCCCCTTGTCCTATTGTTGGTTGCCCGGGAGAAGAGACCAACTCCCGCCTGGCTATAACCTCCCTTCAGGTAGTTGAAGAGAGTGATGAGGTCGCCTCTAAGCCTTCTCTTCTCCAGACTAAACAACCCCAGCTCCCTCAGCCTCTCCTCATAGGACTTGTGCTCAAGTCCCTTCACCAGCCTCGTTGCTCTTTTCTGGACCCGCTCCAGCACCTCAATGTCCTTCCTGAACTGAGGGGCCCAGAGCTGAACACAATACTCAAGGTGTGGCCTCACCAATGCAGAGTACAGGGGAAGGATCACTTCCCTGCTCCTGCTGGCCACACTGTTCCTGATGCAGGCCAGGATGCCATTGGCCTTCTTGGCTACCTGAGCACACTGCTGGCTCATGTTCAGCCTCCTGTCGATCAGCACCCCCAAGTCCCTTTCTGCCTGGCTGCTCTCCAGCCACTCTGTCCCCAGCCTGTAGCGCTGCAGGGGGTTGTTGTGGCCAAAGTGCAGGACCCGGCACTTGGCCTTGTTGAACTTCATTTCATTGGAGTTTGCCCATCTCTCCAGTCTATCCAGATCCCTCTGCAGAGCCCTCCTGCCTTCCGGCAGGTCGACACTCCCTCCCAACTTGGTGTCATCTGCAAATTTGCTGATGATGGACTCAATCCCCTCATCTAAATCATCGATAAAGATGTTAAAAAGGACTGGGCCCAGCACTGACCCCTGGGGGACACCACTGGTGACCGGCTTCCAACTGGATGCAGCTCCGTTCACCAGCACTCTCCTGGGCCTGCCCCTCGAGCCAGTTCCTGACCCAGCAGACAGTGCCCCTGTCCAAGCCGTGGGCTGCCAGCTTTTCCAGGAGTATGCTGTGGGAGACAGTGTCAAAGGCTTTGCTGAAGTCCAGATAGACCACATCCACAGCCTTTCCCTCGTCCACCAGGTGGGTCACCTGATCGTAAAAGGAGATCAGGTTGGTCAAACAGGATCTGCCCCTCCTAAACCCGTGTTGGCTGGGTCTGATCCCTTGTCCATCCTGTAGCTGCTGTGTGATTTCACACAGGATAATCCGCTCCATAACTCTGCCAGGCACCGAGGTCAGGCTGACAGGCCTGTAGTTACCCGGGTCAGCCTTGCAGCCTTTTTTATGGATTGGGGTGATATTTGCCAACTTCCAGTCGTAAGGGACCTCCCCAGTGAGCCAGGGGTAGTGTGCACCTACAATGAAAGGGCACCCCCTCCCCCCACTCTTTTTTTCAGGGTGGGGAGAGGCTGAGAAGGCAGGAGGAGAGCAGGGTTGCAGTGCAGAGGGGCACGGGAGTGGGGGAGGGTTCTTTTTAAAACCAGACGGCACCATAAATCGAGGCCTTTTTTTTGTGGGTCTTCCTGCCCATCACCCAATGGAGCCAGTAGCCACCTTTTTGTTCTCCTGTTCAACTCCCCCTTCTCCCCCAGAGGAGAAGCCTTCTCCCCACCTGACACTGCGGTCGGGAAGCGGCCTGAGTCCTTTGCCGGCCACCACAGCAGCCGCCGGGAGAAGCCCCAGGAGAGCCCCTACCAACCGTCTCGGAGTAAAGTATCTGCCCCAGGCCACGTCCTGTGGCGGTGCTGCATGTCAGAGCATCTTCCCGCGGCAGCTGCCTGACCTTCCCCCTCCCCCCCTCCCCCGGCCCCCATCGCCTGCCTCTGCGGGCAGTTATTTCCTGAGCTGCGGAGCCCGGAGCTGTTACCGAGGACCGCGCCCATAACCCTGGGACCGGCGGGAAACCCCCCTTCATTGTTGGCAGTGGAGCTGCCATCGCTCACGTGGCTGTGAGCAGTTTTTGAGCCGCCGGGAGCAGCCCGCGGACGGTCCCCTGACTGTCACGGGGAGCCACGGCAGCTGCCACCTGGGGAAGTAGGATTTTGTTTTGAAAGTTTTGGTTTCACCGCTGTTGCTTATTTGGGTTTGTTATATATATGTATATATATGTTAATAAAGACCTGTTATTTTCCTTTTCCACACCTCTCACCTGAAGTCTCTTAATTTCAAAGTTATCATAACTTAGAGGGAGGAGTTTGGTTCCCTTTTTTTTTTCTAACCCTCCCTCCTTAGCAAACATTTGTGTCTTGCTAAAGTAAGACACCCTGCTTGAGCAGGGAGGTTGGACCAGATGATCCTCTGTGGTCCCTTCCAACCTTACCCATTTTGTAATTCTGTGATCTGTTACATGGTTCTGTCATCTGAAATTTTGTCAAAAAAAATTACAAAGAAAGTAATGGTATGAATGGCTGTGAATAGGGTCAAATGCAAATTAAATATTTTCTCAGACTTGTCTTCCTGGAGCTATGTTATGCTCTTTTCCAGATCCCTCTGAACAAATTTCAGAGGCCCTCTTTTATTCATTCAGAATTGGGAATTTTGAGATATGGTTCCTTCCTACTGGACACCAATCCAACGTATGTGATGCTTATACTCTTATATGGTGGTATTTTTGCATGTTGCTATTAGAAACTCTTGATATTTGTAAATAACTGGAAAATAACTCAGAATTTGCATTCCCTGAAATACAAACTTCAGTCTACAAAGGATGCAATAGCTTCAAATCAGCATTGTCTTGTTTTAATTTTACTTCTGCCAGAAATCCTGCCTTAGACTTTGACTGATTTTTTTCACTTTTCTGTGCCTTAGTTTCCACACCTGTAGAATATAAATGATTATTTCTTTATGAACTTTTTGGAAGATTATGATTTTTTTATAAACTTGCTAATTATTATAAATTGTCTCAAAAGAAAGAGGCAAAACACTCTAAAAACACAAGTACACATTAATTTACTAAATAAAAGCAAGTTTCCTGCAAATATTTTTCAAATTATGTGTGTGTTTCAAATATTCTGAGACACTAAAAACACAATGGTTTTTCTTCATACAATGTGACACATCTGCCAATGCTATAAAATGAAAATTAGTGAAGCGTAATACTATACTTAGATGAAATTGTTTCTCATCATGCTATTAATTGTTTACAGTTTAATCATACATATACCCTTTAACTAAAAATCTTCTCGCATAACAATAAGGCAGACAGAGTAGGTACCGGATCATCTGTTTTTCTATGCGTAGCTGGCTAACAGTTGTTTTCAGTTATATTGCAAGTAAAGTCACATTTCATTATGCAGAGATGTGCTGACCACGTGTCTTAGTTTAACAAGATTACAACTTAGAAATTAAGAAACTTCAGGTGGAAGTGTGGAAAAGGAAAAGAACAGCTTTTTATTAACAAAATCTGAATAAACAACAAATGGTGCAATCAAAAACTTTCAGAAGAAACAAAACAAAGTCCCAATTCCCCAGGTGGGGGAAAGAAACCCGTGGCAACCCAGGGCGGGCCGGGGGAGAAAGAAGGGGTGAAGGCAGGACTGTCCCAGCAGTTCAACAGCTGCTCGTAGCCACATGCGCCTGCAGCAGCCAGCAGCCGATGGCTTCACAGCCAGTGATGAAGGAGTCCTTTTTCCCCACAGGCAGTCCCAAAAACTGAATACTTCAGTCTGAGATGGGTCGGTCTGTCTCTCTCAGTTGTCCTCCACAAGGTGTTCCGTGGGGAAAAAAAAACTTCCTCTCAGGAAAAGAAAAGGAGGCGACCAAAACCAGGCTCCCTGCTCTGTCTGGTCTGTGGACCAAACCCAAAAACCCCTGAACGAAAGACTCCCCAGGCGTCCCTGCGGCAAGTGCATTTCCTGAGAGAGCTCGCCCTCCTCCCGCTCCCGTGCTGCTCAGCGCGTGCGGCTTCGCTCTGCCCCCCCCACATCCTGGAAGAAACAGATGGGGGGGGCGGACATTGGGAAAAAATTCCAACATCTCTTTTCAAACATATGACATCATCCATCCCTGAATTTTTTCCCATACTAACATGTATTACCCCAATTATACACATAATACAAATATTTACATACAAATACAGGCACAACGTTATGGGAAATTCACCCAAAAATGAGGTCCCCTTGAGGTATACACCGTGTTTCTCCATCTTCCAGCATTACCCACCACGTGCTACCTGATCCTTAAGCAAAAACAATGCCACAAATAAATTTGCCTTTGCTCGAGGCAGGATTAATCCAAACTGTTTTACCTATCTCTCAAGTGAATTACTGGGACTTTGTCCCCATCTACGGTGTGAAGGGACTCTGATTGGGCAGGGCCTGCTCGATTGACAGAGTCTCTAGTGTTCACTAACCATGTAGCCTTTGCTTGTTGCTGATCCCAGTGCTTGAAAGTCCCTCCACTCAATGCCTTCAGGGTTGTTTTCAACAACCCATTATATCATTCAACCTTCCCTGCGGCTGCTGCATGGTATGGGATGTGATACACCCACTCAATGCCATGCTCCTTCGCCCAGGTGGTAACTAAGCTGTTCTTGAAATGAGTCCCATTATCTGACTCAATTCGCTCTGGGGTGCCATGTCACCACAGGACTTGCTTTTCAAGACCCAGGATGGTATTTCGGGCAGTGGCGTGGGGCACCGGATGTGTCTCCAGCCATCCAGTGGTGGCTTCCACCATGGTGAGCACATAGGGCTTACCTTGGCGGGTTTGTGGCAGTGTGATATAATCAACCTGCCAGGCCTCCCCATATCTCTACTTGCTCTAGCATCCACCATACCACAGGGGCTTCACTCTCTTTGCCTGCTTAATGGCAGCCCAGGTCTCACAATCATGGATAACCTGGGAAATAGTGTCCATGGTTAAGTCCACCCCTCGGTCTCGTGCCCATCTATAGGTGGCATCTCTGCCCTGATGGCCTGAGGCATCATGGGCCCATCATGCTAGGAACAACTCTCCTTTGTGCTGCCAGTCCAGATCTACTTGTGACACCTCAACTTGTGCAGCTCGCTCTGTCTGTTCATTGTTGTGATGTTCCTCATTGGCTCGATTTTTGGGCACATGGGCATCTACGTGGCGGACTCTCACAGTCAGCTTCTCTACCCGGGTAGCAATGTCTTGCCACTTATCAGTGGCCCAGATGGGTTTCCCTCTACGTTTCCAATTGGCCTTCTTCCATCTCTCCAACCACCCCCACAGAGCATTCGCCACCATAAAAAGCCCTGTCTGTCTGTCATTTAGAGGAGCTATCCTCCAAATGTCCAGCATGCTGAATAAAGAATGCCCTTTTTAACACCTACAAATCGGTGTTAAGAAGTTTGCTTCTGCTGCTTTGCAGTATCATTTTTGGTGACCCAGATGGGACACCTCTGTCTGACTTCCCACGGATCCGAGGAATCTCTGGATCTTCATGCCAGCACAAGGACTTTCCTGGAGAAGACCACAGATCCCCAGACCAGTCTGGGATGCAGGTAAGATCCCATTTGATAATAAGGCGTTCTTTTCGGGAATCCTGCCCATATGAGACGTGTATCTTCCAGCACATTGGGTGGGTTATTTGGTATTCTGGAATTTTGTATTTGGCTTTGTTTTATTGATCGATATTGTTTTGTATTTGTATTTGTTTCTGTATTGTGACATTTTGGGTCTACTGTTCAGAGATGGGTAGTGGACAATCTGAAGGTTGTATTTTGCAACATTGGAAGAAGATTGGCAGGCCCCCTGGGGAACAGTTACCAGGGAGAATTTAATTAAGTATTGTAATCAGTGGTAGTCATTATGGAACATTGTTAATGTTGTTTTTAAAATGGTAACAGAAGTGGGACAAGGTTATGTATGCTGATATGTTTTTCACTTTGAGGAACCATCTGGAATGGCAGAAAGATTGTGGTGTGAATCCAGCCCCCTCAGATCCCTTGGTGTTAGCCCTGGAAAAGGAGAATCAAGGGAAATGGTTAAAGTGTTGTAGTTCAGTGTGTAGCATAGGAAAAATTTGTTCTAAACATCTCCCCAATAAGGAGGATGACTTAGATCTTATGGTTAGCCCCACTCACAGGTTGGGGGGGGAACAGATAATCAAGATGCAGAAACCAATCTTGCAAGGGAACTAGCATGTGAAGAGGCAGATTTAGCATGTCTAGAAGAAAAGGTAGAGAGAATGTGTCAGAGAGAAGAAAGTTTCAGTCTGGTTGCAGGAAGAACTAGAACTAAAAAAGGAGGGGTGGTAGTGACCCCCCTCCATGAGATAACCCAGACAAAATGGCAAAAGCATTTGAAATGATGATTAAAACACAGGATCTGGACTAGAAGGATATTGATAATATGTTAGAAATGTTTGATAGTATGGAGAAATGGTTGTTAAAACTAGTAGGAGCTTTGTGGAAGAGCAGATTTTGACAGGTAATATACAGGGTATATTGGATGTTAACTTTCCCACCGTGGATCCCAAATGGACCTCACATCCCTATTTTAGAGAAAGGTTAAATAGATACCAGCAATCGACATTATATGGAATTAAATATGTCATGCCAAATGCAATTAACATGTCAAAATTATTTGAAATTAAGCAGGATCGCAGGGAATTGCCTACTGAATTTTTAAATCATCTGAAAGAAACAGCAGAAAAATATACTAATATCAATCCTGAAACAGAGGAGTGAAGGACTCAACTGGCCCCATATTTGTGGGGCAGTCCTCAGATGACATTAGGAGGAAATGACAAAAAGCTAAGGGGCAAGATCAGTACAATTTAGGGACATTGTTGGATGTTGGGAGAATCAGCAGGAACCAACTAAGAAGAAAGTTGTTGCAGGAAATGGTGCCCCTGGGGGGAAGAAGAAGATGAGAGCATGGACAGCCTACCTCGAACCCCCCTCCTCCCCGGGAGACTTGGTACCAATCAATGTGCATACTGTAAGAAAGATGGACATTGGAAACAGGATTGTCTGCAATGGAAACTTAAGAACTCTCCGAATCCTCTCATGGCCATCCCCGAGGATGACTGAGGGGGACTGGAGGATTCTTCCCCAGCAGAACCTCTGGTTACAGCTAAGCTGGGAAATGAAAAAGTAAAATTTTTAGTAAATATGGGAGTTAGTTACTCTGTGTTAAATACAGGAAAAGGAAACTTAAGTAACAATTTGTGCTGGTTTAAAGGTAAACTGGAAGGGGAAAATGAACTCAACTCAAAAGAGAGATTATAAGTCAGAATAACAATTTAATAAAATAATACAATAAATACGATTATACAGACAAACAATTGGTTTTAACCCACAAAACCCAAATGTATAACCCAGCACTCTGGGGCATGAACAGAGTGGTGTTCGTTGGGCCCCCTGAGTCCACAGTAAACGGAGAGGGAAAAACTTGTTGGTGAGAGTGCTGTTGCAGTATGGTCAAGAGTGGTGATTGCAGTCCAGTCGAGAGTGGTGGTTTCAGTCTGGTTGAAAAGTGGTGGTTGCAGTCCAGTCGAGAGTGGTGGTCTCAGTCTGGTTGAGAGTGGTGGTCACAGTCCTTCTCTGGATCCCACAAGTGGTTAAAAAAAGTCCCAAGACTCCAAGATTATATATATCCTCCGGTTCAGGCAGGAATGCCCAGTACCTCCCTCAGGGCAGGGAGTTCCACAATGGGTGTGAGGACAGGAGCACCCTCCTATCTCGCAGGCCTCTTAACACCCAGTTTATAGCCTGAGGAGTCAGGTGTGCTCTGGGCAGATGGTGTAAATGGTCTATTGATAACAGTTTCTGGGAAATGGCATGGAAGGCTATAGAATACACAGTTTTGGGTTACACCCATACAGTGATGAACTGGTCCCAGCTGTTCTAACTAGGACACAATTCTATAACAATTGTCAGTGCGACAGGGAATTGCTAAACTTGGCCATTTTTTAAACCTATTGATTTTAAATTAGGAAAACAGTGGATGACTGTAGCTGGGAGGATGCCGAAACTGAAACCAGTGCACCATTGAAAGCTTAACACAAACAATATTTATTACAAAGAAGTGGCCAACAAAATGGGAACCTGAGAGAGAGGAAAAAGGAGGGAAATAAGCACTCAGTACAACACCCCACTCAGGTATTACTTACGAGGTTGTCTTACCGACCCCAGAATGCCTAGAATTCCCCATAGCAGCAGCTGCATTCTCGGAGAGTCGGCAGGCTCACAAGATAGCGGGCGTCCCCGCAAAAGGCAACATTGTCCTTCATGTGAAGCGTGAGTCCACTCCCAGCACGAGCTATCTGCTTTTTATACAATTAATTGGTGACATCTACCTGGGCAGATGTGGCCAGCACCACCCAGCTAGAGGCCTTCAGTCCCTCCCTCCATTATGCAAGTGGCATCTCTTCTGCACATGCGTGGGTACACTGGAATTTCCCTGCGCCTGTGTGCTACACCTCGGGGGGTCTTTCCTAAATGAGTCTAGGGGCTTACTTCATCCTCCTCCTCTTCACTTTCTCCTTTAAATGCCCTTGGAGGGCTGTCAACCAATAGTGAGGTACCAATTAATTCTAGTTCATACAAGATGCTTCCTTCAAGGATGAAGTTCTCATTTATCAGTGCTTGTTTTCATATAACTTGTCAGGAAAAGAATAAACTCTCACAGGTGGCTGGGCCAAACACAGACCAAAAGTAGCAGCATCTAATTAAGCACAAATACAATGACTCACCAGTTTTTCTATTTACCTGATTCACCAAAGCCTCTCCTTGGGAGACATCTATTGGAAGAAGGAAATTGCTGAGATCAAATTTTTTAAAAATGGCAAAATACAGGTTATTTTTCCAGAGCCTAATTATGTGGAAGCTTCTATTTTTGAGCCTAATTATGTGGAAGCTTCTATTTTTGCATTACAGACTCCAAAACTGGAAATAATCCATCTGCCAATACTACTTGAGGATGCAGTGATTCTGATAGTATGGGCTGGAGAGGTCCTCAGGCGATCCAAAAGAGCAGAAACTTTGAGAATTGAGTTGAAACCTGGAGCGGGATTGATAAGGCAAAAGCAATACCCTTTGAAAATAGAAAGTCATAGGGGGTTACTACCCCTTCTAGAAAAATTTATGAACTTTCGCTTGTTAAAAGAATGTGAATCTAAATTTAATACTCCCATTTTGCCAGTCAAGAAGGCAAACGGAAGGGATTACCAGTTGGTACAGGACCTTAGAGCTATAAATAACATAGTAGAAGATATACATCCAGTAGTAGTGAATCCTTACGCTTTGCTAACTACCCGAAATGAAAGTTTAAATTGGTTTACAATATTAGATTTGAAAGATGCCTTTTTCTGTATCCCTTTGAGTTCTGAAAGTCAAGAGCTTTTTGCTTTCAAATGGGAAAATCCAAACACAGGGAGGAAAACCCAGCTGACTTGGACGGTCCTCCTACAGGGGTTTAAAATAGCCCCACAATATTTGGAAATCAATAGGCAAAAGAACTGGAGGAATGGAGAAATCAAAACCCTATTGGAGCCTTATTACAGTATGTAGATGACATTTTGGTAGCGACTGAAGCTAAACAGCAATATTGGGATCATACTGTGGCACTATTGAATTTCCTTGGACTGAGTGGATAGAGGGTATCCAAAAACAAAGTGCAAGTAGTCCAGGCCACAGTAACCTACCTGGGCTTCGAAATTCTCCAAGGACAATGGAGACTGGGACAGGAACAGAAAGAAGCAATCTGTCAACTCCCACAGCCACAGACAAAGGAACCCCAGAGCATGATTGCTTACAGACTATAGAAGAAGTGTATTACAGCAGACCTGACATAGGAGATGGCCCCTTGGAAAGTCCTGATTGGGAATTGTTTACCAATGGGAACAGCTTTGTCTGGAATGGAAAATGATTATCTGGATATGCAGTAACTACCCACCATGAGGTCATGGAATTGGGGGCACTCCCCTCTGATGTTTCAGCCTAGAAAGCATAACTAACTGCGCTCACTCGAGCTTTTGAATTAAGTAAAGAAAAACAAGTCAATTTTTTGACTGATTCAAGATACACCTTTTGGAGTGGTACATGGACATGGAGCCATCTGGAAAGAGAGAAGACTCCTGACAGCGCAAGGAACGCTGATGAAAATGACAAAAATCTTGGACTTGCTTGAAAATATCCAGAAATCAGCAGAGGTTGCTGTCATGCATTGCAGAGCACACCAAGAGGGTAAGACAAAACCAGAACTGGGGAATCATTTAGCTGATAAGGCTACCAAAGAGGCTGCAGAAAAAGGCATGTTAGAGAATCAAGTTTGTCTTTAATACCCCTGATAGAGATATCTCTCCCAGTAGAAAAAAACAGAGTATAGTGCTAAGGATTGTCAACTCATTGAAAAACCCTGGAAGCAAAATTCGATCCACGAGGCTGGGCAGTTACCCCAACCAGGCAAATAATAGTCCCTGAACCAATCTTGCATGAACTAGTGGACAGGGAACATGAGGCTACTCATTGGAGTGCAGAAAAATTATTGAAACATTTGCACAAGTCAGTTATAGGTCCGAAAAATGACACAAATAGTACAAGCAGTTAGCAATGTGGTGCGTGTAAGAGAAATAATCCAAACACTGCCAAGAGTGATGGGAGTCATAAAATCTGGAAATGTTCCAGATGAATATTGGCAGATTGATTTCACCAAATTGCCCAGAAAAGGGGGGTATAAACATTTCCTAGTCCTGGTGGATACCTTCTCTGGGTGGCCAGAGGCTTTTCCTTGTCACACCAACCGGGCTAGGGAAGTGACTAAAATACTATTGAATCAAATAATACCTAGTGTCCTAGTTAGAACGGCTGGGACCAATTCATCACTGGATGGGTGTAACCCAAAACTGTGTATTCTATAGCCTTCCATGCCATTTCCCAGAAACTGTTATCAGTAGAGGCCTGCGAGATAGGAAGATGTTCCTGTCCTCATACCCTTTTATGGAATTCCCCGCTCTGAGGGAAGGACTGAGCATCCTCATACCCTTTTATGGAATTCCCCGCTCTGAGGGAGGGACTGAGCATTCCTGCCTGAACTGAAGAATATATAAACTTGGAGTTTCGGAACCTTTTTACCACTCGTGGGATCCAGAGGAAGACTGCAGACCACCGCTCTCAACCAGACTGCAGCTCACTGCTCTCAACCAGACTGAGACCACCACCCTCGACTAGACTGCAATCACTACTTTTGACCAGACTGCAACAGCTCTCCCACCAGCAGGTTTTTCCCCTCTCCCTTTACTTTGGACTCGGGGGGGGGCCAAGGAACACCACTTTTGTTCCTGCCCCAGGGTGCTGGGTTATACATTTGGGTTTTGTGGGTTAAAACCAATTGTCTGTCTGTATAATTGTACTTATTGTATTATTTTAATAAATTGTTATTCTGACTTATAATCTCTTTTGAGTTGAGTTCATTTCCCCTGCTGGTTAACTTTTAAACCAGCACACCTAGATTTGAGGTACCTTTGGGAATGTCATCAGACAGAGGGTCCCACTTTATTGCAGAAGTGATACAAAAAGTAAAATCATGGATATATTATTCCAGAATTAAAAAGGCCCAAGCCCCTCGGGTAATTGATAAATTTAGTCTGGGCCTTCCTTGATGACCAGTTTGTAACCAAGGAAGTGCCCAGATTACCTGGTATTTCCTACGATTGTTACGTAAGTCAGGGTATAAGAAGAAAGGAGGAGAGGCCTTCGTTCCTCTTTCCTTCCGGCAGCTTTGGAGGTGCGGGTTTCCCTGCTGTTGAGTCTGTCGTGTTGGGGAGTGAGGCCTGGTAAGGCCTTGCCGACCTTGAGAGGCGGAGGTTGCCGACGGTCATTCCAGCGCGACTTTCTGTTGTCCCAAGGAGAGTAGTAAGATATTCTTTTGTTAATTCTTTTAGTTGCTAGATCTTGGGCTATTGATTGGGTATATTTTATTTTGGTTTTGTTCCTTTTTTTTCCTTCCCCCTTCCCTTTCCCTTTTCCTTTCGAAATTGTACATATATTTCAATTGTATATAAATGTAATATAAGTGTAAATATATTTATATATATTGCTTTAGCTACCTCTCTCTCGTTTCGGTTCTCTTGGTTTTTTTTTCTTTTCCCTTGGTTTTGGGGGGGGGAGCTCTTGCAGTGGAGGTTTGGAGACTTGGCAGGGAGCCAGCTTCAAACCACCTCAGTTGTCTGAGAAGAAACAAAATATTTAAGTCTTGCTATCCCGACAATAGTTAATTCAGTCTTGACTTGGGAGCAAAATTTACATCTAGTAACCCCCACAAAAGAACAGGAAAATTAGACTGTATTAGTGAAAGTGGCACGTTTGTCAAAATCACACCCAATGTACTTAAATACTTAATATTGGGGAAATGAATCATCTTTGGCCAGTACCAAATGGAAGAGGGTGGTATTGGATATGTGGAAATGAAGCCTGTAAAGTGTTACCCCTAGACTGGAAAGGCATTTGTATTTTAGGAGCCTTAGTCCCCAACATAACAGTAATTGATAAAGATCAAGTGCCCCTGGGACTATGGATAAGACGTTATTTGGGGCACACAAAACGAACCTTAAATGCTATAGTGGAGAGACAAACTAAATTTCATAGTTTCATAAGATGGTTTTTACCCTGGCTAGGAGTGAGTAAATTAGAAAAAACAATAGTAAACATTTCTGCTACCATAGAATATATAGAAAATTGTACAGTGGATGACATTACTGCATTACAGGAAGAAGTGAATAGCTTGTCACCGATTGTTTTATAAATTCGAATGGCACTAGACCTTCTTTTAGCATCGCAAGGAGGAGTATGCACTTTCATTAACACCAGCTGTTGTGTATACATTGACCAGAGTGGTAGAGGGTCTACAGATGTACAGGAAATTTGGAAACCCAAATTTTACATCAGGTAGCTCAAGACGCCACCTCTTTAGCCTTTCACGAAATCTGGAATACCCTGACTTCCTGGTTACCTGATTTTAGGTGGCTAAAGAAGTTCTTCATAATTTTAATCATAATAATCACCATTTGTATTTTAGCTTGCATCATGATTCAGTGTTGTAGCTGTTGCAATGCTCTATGCTATAAAATAAAATATAGATAGTAAGAGACTAATTCCCTTAAGGAATTTAGTCTCAAGAAAAGGGGAGATTTGATAGGAGAAATAGAAACTTTACTCACAGTATCCCAGAATGCCCAAATAAGGAACAATATAATCTTAGAGAAGTCCTAGAGAATTAGAAAAGGGATGTAATTCAAACAAACAGGATGAAAACTAAGCTCTGTGTACTCAAATAAGATAAAGAACAAACGTTACAGTTTTTGTGGTGAAACAATATGATGCTGTGCCTGCTCAAGAACTGAGCAAATGCCAGAAGTTGGACCAAATGATGGCTAATGGTGTCTCTATATGCAATACACAGGTGATTAAACAAGAGGGTTTAGTCCTTTTCCACCTTTCCTCTAGTCAAGCCCCACAATTTGGGTGCCAATAAATGTCTTAGTTTAACAAGATTACAACTTAGAAATTAGGAAACTTCAGGTGAAAGTGTGGAAAAGGAAAAGAACAGCTTTTTATTAACAAAATCTGAATAAACAACAAATGGTGCAATCAAAAACTTTCAGAAGAAACAAAACAACGTCCCAATTCCCCAGGTGGGGGAAAGAAACCCGTGGCAACCCAGGGCGGGGCGGGGGGGAAAGAAACCCGTGGCAACCCAGGGCGGGGCAGGGGGGAAAAGAAGGGGTGAAGGCAGGACTGTCCCAGCAGTTCAACAGTTGCTCGTAGCCACATGCGCCTGCAGCAGCCAGCAGCCGATGGCTTCACAACCAGTGATGAAGGAGTCCTTTTCCCCCACAGGCAGTCCCAAAAACTGAATACTTCAGTCTGAGATGGGTCGGTCTGTCTCTCTCAGTCGTCCTCCGCAAGGTGTCCCATGGGGAAAAAAAAAAACTTCCTCTCAGGAAAAGAAAAGGAGGTGGCCAAAACAAGGCTCCCCACTCTGTCCAGTCTGCGGACCAAACCCAAAAACCCCGAACAAAAGACTCCCCAGGCGTCCCCGCGGCAAGTGCGTTTCCCGAGAGAGCTCGCCCTCCTCCCGCTCCCGCGCTGCCCAGAGCGTGTGGCTTCGCTCCATTCCCCCCCCCCACATGCTGGAAGAAACAGATGGGAGGGTGGGAGGGGGGCAGACATTGGAAAAAAATTCCAACATCTCTTTTCAAACCTATGATACCACGATGTTATCGGTAAACAAGACCAAAACTCTTTTAAAGTTTTACAAAAGTTTTATTGAAGGCAGAGGAGCAAACAGCGCTGGGCGGATGGGGTTTTGCCTCCCCTATACACTCCGCAAATTCAATAAGTTTCAATTTTTCTTTTTATAGCCCCAAATCTCCTCCCAGGTTTCTGGTTACCAGTTCATTCTGCGCATGTTCTGCCTTTGTTACTAGGGAATCTTCTTTTCCCTGTTTCTTGTCTTTCTTATCAGCTTCTCCTGGCGTCTTCTTTCTTATCAGGTCTGGCCGCCTCCTTCCTCTTATCAGATTGTGTCGGCTAAGGGTGTTTTTGTGGTTAGGGGCCTCCCTTCTGCTCTATGTCTTCTTTGACAGGTTCTGCTGCAGTTGCTAGGGAGAATACTTTCTACATAGATAGCTAAAATCTAGAGGTAACATAGTAGAATATAATTTGTCATGATAACATAACATCACAGTTCACAATTACAGTATTACAAATATAATTTGATAAGCAAATTATCTCTTTTTGTCTTTATTGACTATCACAATTCCTCCCCTTTCTTATTCACCAGTAATTTGCTTATCGAACCTCATTACAACTTCTCGAGCCGCAATTAATGTGGGAGGTTGTTCTGCTTTAGGTGTCCCTTCATTCAAGTCCAGATGTTGCTGTCTCATTACCATAAGTTGTACCGTTTCAACTCTACTCTTAATAAAAGTCACAATTTTATTCAGGATACAGGGACCAAGTGTCAAAATTGTTACCAGCGCTATCAGAGGACCTATTAGGGTAGAAACTAAGGTAGCTAACCAAGGTGATTGGTTAAACCATGATTCAAACCAGCTCTGTCGAGTTTCCCTTTCTCTTTTTCTTTGAAGAATTCCTTCACGTAATTTAGCCATAGATTCACGCACTACTCCTGAGTGATCTGCATAGAAACAACATTCCTCCCCTAATGCAACACATAGCCCTCCTTGTTGTAAGAAGATCAAATCTAATCCTCTTCTATTTTGCAAAACTACTTCAGAAAGTGAAGTGAGGGACTTTTCTAAGTACAATATCGATTTTTCAATTCTCTCTAAGTCTTCATCAACTGCTGCTCTTAGGGATGTTAACCCTCTATTTTGTTCAACATAGGATGCAATTCCCGTGGCTGCCCCTGCTACTCCCAGACTGAGGAGCATAGCAATTGTTATGGCAGTAAGCGACTCCCTTTTTTGTATCCTGTGTGTATTATCGTCCCAATGGTCTAGAATCGATTCCCTTGAATGATAAAGTATTTGAGGTATGATCATTATTTGTACACAGAACTCCTTACTTTCGTCAAATATCTGTAGGGATATGCAGGGAGTTACGCCCATCCTTGAGCATATCCACCATCCTTCCCCGCCAGGTATGGCCCATTTTTTTGTTTTATCCAGTTTCCTTATGGTATAGCTGCATAAGTCCTTCTTGGCTGTAGGTACATTCCCTATACACACTCCCTGTCCTCTCACCTACTGGAGAGTGATTCCTACCTTTTTCTCTTCCCAATTACACTGTGTGGGGTCACCCTGGTTGGATATTTTAAATGAGGTGTTCAAAGCTATCCCTTCATAAAATGGGGGTTTGATATCATAGCACAACCAACAGGAATTAGTCATGTTAGAGTCAGTGTGGTTAAGTGCATAGTAGGTTGCTTGCATTAATCGTAGTAATGGTTCTGTTTTCTCATATTCTTTGGTGTAGGTTGAGGTTACACTGGAGTTGTTAAAGTTAACAGTCGGGACGGTTGAGTCTTTGAAAGTCTTTCTCTTCCCACTCTCCTTCTGGTTGAAGCTATTCTCTTTCTTTTTTATTACTTTATTGGGTCCTATTGCCAGAGGGCGTTGGGTTGTTTCCTGCTTTTTTATTGTTATTAGCCCTCCCCTGTCCGTCCCAGGTTCCCAGTATCTGATTCCCCAAGTTTTTCCTATTAACCATCCTGGGTCCTCTGGTCTCATTACTTGGAGGGTTATATAACTGCAATTGCTATCTCTCCTAAATCCTCCAGACAAAACAATTTGTGATGGTTTACAGCCAGGTGGTCCCCAGGTTGTTGCCAGATACTTATCTTGGGAAGTAGGGGTCCAGGCAGAAGCAATTGTGGCGCAGTCCCAGTACGCACAGTGATATTCATTAGGGAGATTACAGTACCCCTTCCCTGGATTGGATGCGGGACAAAGATAGTATGGTTTCGTATTTAAGCAACGTGATAAGGGTGCCAGTTGACACAGTGTAGCAGAGAAACTGGGAGGTCCTGCTGTAAGATTGCTCTTAATTATTTTCAGATCACCCCCTCTGGTCAAAGTCCATTTGTATGGCTGATGTGGGCTTTCCCTGCTTTGGGGAAGCTGCCACAAAAACACTGCAATCCAGATATAATTTCCCATATCCATTCTCCACCGCATTATTGCTCTGCCTCCTTCGTCTACTCCTTTGCAGGGAGCAACGAGGTTTGCATTATCTTCTCGGCAGCAGTCAATATTCTTCAGGAGAATATGGGTTTGTTTTTTTTCTTTTTTTTTTTTTTTTTTTGGTAGATTCTTACAACCTTTCGGTTTTCCTTCTATTTCTCAAGACTCATTTGTTTCATATACTCCTCTAGTATTTCTAAAAGTTGGCTGGTTGTTAAATTTGTTTTCCAGGCAAATTTAATGCCACACTGTTCTAAAGTTTTGTACCAGTCCTTTTTATAGACCTCCCAGGTTTCTGGTACCAACCACTCCCATCCGCAGAATAACTTGTCAATTTCCAGAACACTCAGTTGCTCATCAGAAGCAATAAAGAAATCTCGACATTTCATACAATGGGTATTCCGTCTACTTGCTACACAATACCACTCTATACCACATAATACACATTTAGAACTGACCCAACCTTCATGCCCTGAGCCTGGGTGTTTTATACAGGGAATTTTTTGTACAGGTCTTTCTAGCAGAGTAATTTCAGTTTCAAATTCACAACAAAAAGGAAAAGTTTTCCCTTTTTCGGCAATCTGATACAGTCCACTTCCCCCGGTCTGGTAAGGGATTGGCCTGCTCAGCCAATGGCTATACCGAACCCTTATTAAGGTTAGGTCTGAAGGCACTTCAAACCAGGAGTATAGGCTGGATCTTATGTCCCGCTCAAAGCGATTCATTTACCAGTCACGCTTTTCTGAACGTCATTCGGAGATCTCCGGGTTGGGAGGTTATAGTCCATTCAGGAGTGTTGACTGGTCCTTTAACACGAGATGCGTGAGTCCATCCTCTTTCAGCGGTACGAATGGCTGTATCTGTAGTGAGAAGAACGACAAAAGGTCCCTCCCAACAAGGGGTTAATGAGGACTCTTTCCATGTCTTAATTAACACTCTGTCCCCAGGCTGTATTTTGTGTATTGCCATATCCAACGGGGGTCTCTGAGTTACTAATCCTTTCTTTCTCAATTACTGTCTCCTTTTCATTAACTCAATTATATACTCCCTTAAGAGGGTGTCTTCCACCTTTGGATTCTCTATCGGGATTCCAAAATCATATGGCATTCCATACATCATGTCAAATGGTGACACCCCTGTGTCTGTGCATGGTTGGGTCCGAATATATAATAAAGCCAATGGCAAACACTCAATTCATTTTAGTTTCTATCATTAATTTAGTCAATTGTTTCTTTATTTCACCGTTCATTCTTTCCACTTTACCAGAACTTTGCGGGTGCCACGGCGTGTGGTACTCCCACTTGGTTCCAAAAAGCTCTGTTGTTTCCTTGATTATTTTAGAGGTAAAGTGTGGTCCCCTGTCTGAGTCCACCACTGCCACAGTACCGTACCATGGAATAATTTCTTCTAATAAAATCTTAATCACGGTTTTGGTGGTGCACCTTGCCACGGGAAAGGCTTCTACAAAGTGGGTGAGATGATCTACTAACACCAGTAGGTGGCGGTATCTCCCTACTTTAGGTAACTCGGTAAAATCTGCCTGTACCTTTTCAAACGGTCTTTTAGCTAATTCTCGTCCCCCCTGCACCCGCTCCCTCAATTGTCTTTTATTTACCTTTTGACAGGTTAAACACCCTTCAAGAGTTCTTTTCACTATTCCATGAGATCCCACACAGACAAACTTGTTTTCAAATTGATCCACTAAAGCTTGTGTTCCCCAATGTGTCTGCTCATGTAATTTTCTCATTATTTTCTGGGCCAGACCTTTCGGAAGAACTTCCCGTCCATCTGGTAATAACCACCTATTATTTTCTTCTTTCGCTCCAGACTGTCGCAGCTTTTCCTTTTCTTGTTCACTGAAGCTTTTCGGAATGTCTATGTCCCCCTGTTCTGAACTAACTATTACTAATAAAGCCGCCCTTTTTGCTTCCTCATCTGCCAAGTTATTACCCCTAACAGTAACCTTTAATCCTTTTTGATGTCCTTTAATATATACAACTGCAATCTGTTTTGGTTTTCTCAGAGTCTTTAGAATTTCTCGAATCAAAGTTTCATGAATGAGTCCCTTACCTTGAGTATTGATTAATCCTCTTTCTTCCCATATTTTGCCGAAAGTATGAACCACCCCAAACGCATACTTAGAATCTGTGAATATAGTGCCTGCTTTTTCGTCTAATAGCCGTAAAGCTCTCAACAGTGCATATAACTCACAAGCCTGGGCTGACCACGTCTTGTCTAAAGGCCCAGACTCCCTGACTTGAAAAGTCTTTCTGTCTATTACAGCATATCCTGACTTTTGGTTCCCATTAACTACCCTAGATGAACCATCTATGTATAATTTCTCTCCTTCATTCAGTTCTTCCTCTTCTAAATCTTCCCTAATTTTTGTCTGAAAATTTATTACTTGTAGGCAATCATGTACCAGGTCTCCTTTGGGCTCCCCATATAGGAAATGGGCTGGATTTTGTAGATTTGTCACTTCTAGTTCTAATTTTGGTGAATGTAATAGGATGCTTTCATATTTTAACAACCGGCTATCTGTCAGCCATTTCTCAGCTCTCTGTTGCAATACTCCCCTTATATTGTGAGGGGTAAAAACTCTCAATTCTCCCCCAAAAGTCACTTTTGTAGCTTCTTCAACTAACAAAGCCATAGCCACAATGGCTTGCAGACAAGTTGGCCACCCCCTGCTGACTGGATCTAGTAATTTTGAATAATATCCAACTGGTTTTCTCTGCCCAGCCCAAGTCTGAGTTAGGACTCCATATGCCGTACCATTTTCAGTATTCACAAATAAATAAAAAGGTTTTCGATTATCTGGTAAACTTAACACAGGTGCATTTACCAAATCTTCCTTCAATTTCTCAAATTGTTTGTCATCTTTGTC